CCTGGTCCTGGAATGTGTCAGGGCACACGCCCAGGCGCGAGGGCTCACGGCCGCCCTTGAGGCTGGGCCTTATGTAGGGGCTGTGCTGCTGCAGTCTTGACATGGTGATCCGTGGCCTCCTCCTCTTCTTTAAAAAGCTATTCTGTTTATTTGAAAGCAGAAAAGCAGAGCTCCCAGCCGCCGGTTCTTTCCCAGAAGCCTGTGCAGTCAGGGGTGGCCAGGCTGAAGCAGGACTGGAAACTCCGTCTGTTTTCCCTCCAGGGCTGTCCCGGCCCTCCGACGGTGTGCATGACAGGAAGCAGGCTCTGTGTGCGACGCGGGCGTCCCAGAGTGTCTATCTGTGCCGCCAGATGCCCGTCCTGTTTGCCTCTCTGAGCCAGTTCCAGTTCTGTGGTCAACCATCAGCATCCCTCGGGACTGTTGGGCTTTCGTTTCAGACACTGTGGCGGAGCCCGTAACTGGGGTGACGCGTGGGTGAGAAGTGTTTGTCGCCTGGGCGGCTTCCCCTGGTGTCTCGCTGTGACGTCCCGTGCGTGTGGCCTCCTGGGTGTAGATGGACCTGTACTCCCTGTCCAGTGTTCTGGGCAGCCAGGCGGGAGCAGGGGGGCTGTCCAGGAAGTGAGATGAGTAGAGTTAGCCAGAAACCCCAGGAAGGGGAGGAGAAGCGTTCCTGGCTGGGAGGGCTGGCGGAGAGGGCCGGGCAGGGTGGTGCGCAGACCTAGCGAGAGCCCATTTGTTCATTTCTGCGTCGGTGAGGAGAAGCAGAGTAATGTGATGTGATAACCTTTCGTATCTAATGCCTCCCTCTGAGTTTTCATGATTGTGGGCGTAGTTTGGATGACTTACTACTACAGTTATTTGGGAGCCGATGGTTGGTGATACAGAGTTGTCTGTAACGGTATTTGGAATGAGTGTGTGTTTTAACAGTGTGTGCCCACACACTCCGCTGTGACCTTCGGGGCTGGCTCTACTCTGTCTTCCCAGCTTGGGGAGACTTCATCGAGTCCCAGGTCTCTGGACAGCCTGGGGGGGGCGGGGTCACAGCCAAGGGGTCCTTGCCAGGTGTCCAGGGGTGGGTGTGTCCCTTGTCCCCACCTGCCCTCCTCTGGATCGTGTCTCCGCCCTTCCCGATTGTCTTGCGTGACGCGCCATGGCCCACAAAGGTCTGTCTTTCTTGGCTGTGAGGTCACCTCCTGGCCAACCTGCTCTCTGCAGCGTGCCGTGTGCCGTGCTCTGCCGCTCTCTGCCTTAGCCAGGGAGCGTCTGCCCAGCTCCAGCTCTGGGCTGTGCCGAGCTGGGCAGGGCTGGCCCTGGGCACAGGAAGCCGTGGAGGCCCAGGGTGTGACCCGTGCTTAGTGAGGGTCTGACCAGACAGCCTCCCCCAGGACTCCGGCCAGCCCGCTGCTCTCCCTGTCTCTGCTCCCATCTGGGGTCCTGTCAGCTGCATCGCCCCTGTGTTGGGAGAGTGGCATTTGTCCTGCATCCCCGAAGAACTTCTACTAATTTTGCCTGTTTAATTTTCCCTTCAGACGTTTGATGCAAATGATTTGTATCAGGGGCAGAATTTTAACAAGGTCCTCAGTTCCCTAGTGACTCTAAATAAAGTGACAGCAGGTAAGACTTTTCTTTAATTGAACTTTCAAGAGCGGGAAGACGGGGTTGGGGGATGAGGGGTTAGCAAGTGAATTGAGGATTGAATTTAAAGTACGCATGCTTCTGCTGATTGCTTCTTTTGTTCCCTTAGCTCTCACCTTTTTTTCCTTATTAGAATAGAATGTTCCTTTTTGAAAAAAGATCTATTCATTTATTTGAAAGGCAGATTTACAGAGAGAAGGAGAGACAGAGGCCTTCCTTCTGCTGGTTCCCTCCCCGAATGGCTGCGATGGCCAGGCTGAGCCAGGTTGAAGCCAGGGGCCTGGAACGCCATCCGGGTCTCCCAGCTGGGTGGTGGGGTCCCAAGCACTTGGCCATGGTCCGCTGCTTTCCCAGGCACAGCAGCAGGAAGCTGGAACGAAGTGGAGCAGGCAGGACTCCGACCGGCACCCGTGGGATGCCCGTGCCGGCAGGGCCTAAGCCCCTGAGGCACAGCGCCAGCCCGAGGGTGGGCCTGTAGGTCCCCTGAGGATGCTGAAGGTCAGCTGAGAGCGTGACGAGACCAGGGTCCCTTCACTTGACGTGGCGGAGTGGAGCCCGAGGCGCCTCTCTCTCGGCTTTCCTGAGTTTGCAGTGTGGATGCTCACTCCAGGGGCAGTGTGGTTCTGAGCTGTGCCGTGATGAGGGAGCGCGGCGGGCGCGCTGTCTGCCGAGGTGTGCCGGGCTGGAGGCAGCAGAGACGGCTTTGCCTGCTCCGCGCCTGGCTGTTTCTAAGGGGGTGGATGGGTGGAGCCCGTCTAGTGAGCCCTCAGACCACAGTGGGGACAGGGCCTGTTCTGCGTGGGCTCCCCACGGGCGGGCTCGCTGTCCCATGGGCTGCGTGGCTATGGAAGGAAGAAGCCATAGTGACGTTGTTTCCTGCTGACCTTGACGCATGAAGTCACATTAGGGCGAGGTGAAGTGCCCGCATTGGAACGCACCTCTTCAGTTCTCCCCTACTTTTGTCCGGCCCTGCAGTTGGGGGTGTGTGTGTGGGGGGGAGCAGGACTGCCGTGGGCGGCACAGACGGCTTCCTCAGCCCTGCTGGCACCCTGCTGCTGTCACGTCAGTGCCTGGCGAAGGCGCTGGGGCTGAGAGCAGGGCACCCCGACACTGGTGGACTTATCTAGGAAATAAGGATTTGAAGGGCCAGAGTACAGAGCTGGCTATAAACTTTAAACATCACACCTTTTGGCCGGCGCCACGGCTCACTAGGCTAATCCTCCGCCTAGCGGCGCCGGCACAGACCGGGTTCTAGTCCCGGTTTGGGTGCGCCGGATTCGTCCCGGTTGCCCCTCTTCCAGGCCAGCCCTCTGCTGTGGCCAGGGAGTGCAGTGGAGGATGGCCCAGGTTGCTTGGGCCCTGCACCCCATGGGAGACCAGGAAAAGCACCTGGCTCCTGGCTCCTGCCATCGGATCAGCGCGGTGCGCCGGCCGCAGCGTGCCGGCCGGCGGCGGCCATTGGAGGGTGATAACCAACGCGAAGGAAGACCTTTCTCTCTGTCTCTCTCTCTCACTGTCCACTCTGCCTGTCCAAAAAAAAAAAAAAAAAAAATACTCACACCTTTTGATAATGTTTGCAGACAAGTGTTTGTGGTGTGTTATAATTAATTAGACAGTGAGCTACCTTCTTTATCACTGCATTTTCAGAATGCTCGCTTCAGCCTGAGCAACGTCAGGAAAAGTCACATATGTCCATGGGTGGGGACCGGCAGCAAATTCAGCCGGAGACCATGGCAGACCCATGTTCCCCAGCCACATGGCCGTCTTACTGTGGCTGCTTAGACGCTGGTCTGTACCTCCACGTTTGCATGACATAAATGATTGGGGTCTCTGGTGGACGGGACAAGTGTAGCACAGATCATCCACAGAGAGGTGAATTTGGCCCCTCTGCTTCTGTTGAGTGCTCTGGAGTTTGGCTTCTGGGGACACAGCTTTGAGTGTCACCATGGGTGCTTTCTGGGCGTGTGAACCGCGAGTGGAGGAGTTAGTCATTGTTGTGGGTCAAGACGAAGTCGAGATCGGGAGGGCTCGGGGCCGGGCTGGGCCTGTCGGCGGTCCGGCACGAGGCGCTGTGGCAGTCCCCTGAGGGGCGGGGTGGGACGAGGCTGGGACCCTGCGCTTGCAGAGCCGTGATGTTGCGGGAGCCTGGGTGTTCCTGGCAAAGGCGCGTGTGGAAGCCAGCATCGGCTGGGCGCCCTGGAGAGTGAGTGCCTCGGAGGACGAGGATTGCTGACTCTTCCGCTTGTTGAGTGGCCGCCCTCTCTGGCTTTGAAGCCCGTGGTGGAAGTGACGGTGTGTCCTTAGACCCTGACTCGACAGTGGGCTCAGCCTCTGCCAGGGTGCGGGGGCGGTCTGGGAGAGGGGAGCGGCTGTGTCGGCTGCCGCGTCGCCACGTCGCCACGGCTGAGCGCTGCGCTCTCCTCCTTCCCTGGGACGGCGTGTGGTGGAAGCAGTCACCAGGCGTTCCACAGACGAGAGAGCCGAGAGACAGCTGCCTCTGGAGGGCGTCCGGGAGCTGGCGGGCAGGAGTGCGAGTGTTTATGTCACGGTCAAGGGCGCTGCTCTGAGCACCGTGGCCACGGCTGGCGTTGCTGTGGTCCCGGGTGTGGCCCTCGGGCTGCCCTGGCTTCAGGCTAGCGTGGCGTGGGTAGTTTCAGGCCTCCTCAGCCCCCTCCCCGCCATGGCTCTTTCAGACATTGGACTGGGAAGTGACTCCGTGTGTACGCGGCCCTCATCTCACCGGATCAAGTCTTTTGATTCCCTCGGATCCCAGCCTTCACACAGCCGGACTTCAAAATTGTTCCAGGGCCAGTATCGAAGTCTGGTAAGTTCAAGAGGCTCGGCTGCTTCCGTTCTCGTGTGTTTGGGGTTTGCGTGTGTGCAGCTGTGGTGCAAGGGTGTGCGTGCCTCTGCCAGCGCCGTGTGCACGCGCTGCCTGCCCGAGGAGTGCCCGGAGCACTTGTGAGTGAGCGCGTCAGAGCGCCGTGTGCACGCGCTGCCTGCCCGAGGAGTGCCCGAGCACTTGTGAGTGAGCGCCGTGTGCACGCGCTGCCTGCCCGAGGAGTGCCCGGAGCACTTGTGAGTGAGCGCGTCAGAGCGCCGTGTGCACGCGCTGCCTGCCCGAGAGTGCCCGAGCACTTGTGAGTGAGCGCGTCAGAGCACCGTGTGCCGCGCTGCCTGCCCGAGGAGTGCCCGGAGCACTTGTGGTGAGCGCGTCAGAGCGCCGTGTGCACGCGCTGCCTGCCCGAGAGTGCCTGAGCACTTGTGAGTGAGCGCCGTGTGCACGCGCTGCCTGCCTGAGGAGTTTGTGAGTGAGTGCGTCAGAGCGCCGTGTGCACGCGCTGCCTGCCCGAGGAGTGCCCGGAGCACTTGTGATGAGCGCGTCAGAGCGCCGTGTGCACGTGCTGCTGCCCGAGGAGCCCGGAGCACTTGTGAGTGAGCGCCGTGTGCACGCGCTGCTGCCTAGGAGTGCCCGGAGCACTTGTGAGTGAGCGCCTCAGAGCGCCGTGGGCACCGCGCTGCCTGCCCGAGGAGTGCCCGGAGCACTTGTGAGTGAGCGCGTCAGTAGCGCCGTGTGCACGCGCTGCCTGCCCGAGGAGTGCCCGGAGCACTTGTGAGTGAGCGCCTCAGAGCGCACGTGTGCACGTCCGCGTTGTGCCGGGTGGCAGTGCCACCGGGGAGGCGGGGCCGTGAGCCAGGGGACGGAGTTCCCAGGGGACTTGTCCTTCGTGGGAGTGGGCTGCCATGGAGGGCAGCAGTGAGGTGGGGGGCGCAGGCGGCTTCTCGCTTGCCCCAGGAAATGGTGGAGGGCCCCGTGCTGATCTCGGCGAAGAGCCCCTGCTAGGCGGCCTCCAGGGCCCCGACTTCCCGTGCGCTCACACCTGGCTGTCATGCTGGGCCGTCGCCCACGGGGCCGAACGCGGGCAGTGTCTGAGCGGTCCACGATGGTGAGGGCTTGCTGAAAACATGAAAGTGGGTGCGGGGTCTGGCCGCAACAGGGTCCTGGTGTGGAAAAGTTGGGGGAGTGGGAGATGGGTCCGGGCCGTCACAGGGATCCTGGTGTGGAAAAGGGTGGGGGGGAGGGGGAGGGGTCTGGCCGTCACAGAATGGTCCTGGGTGGTCAGGTGGGGGAAATGGGGGAGGGGTCTTGGCCGTCACAGGGTCCCTGGTGTGGAAAGGTTGGGGGGGATGGGGAGGGGTCTGGCCGTCCACAGGGTCCTGGTGTGGAAGGTGGGGGATGGGGAGGGGTCTGGCCGTCACAGGGTCCTGGTGTGGAAAGGTGGGGGATTGGGCGGGGTCTGGCCGTCACAGGGTCCTGGTGTGGAAAGGTGGAGGGAACGGGGAGGGGGTCTGGCCGTCACAGGGGTCCTGGTGTGGAAAGGTGGGGGGATGGGGAGGGTCTGGTCGTCACAGGGTCCTGGTGTGGAAAGGTGGGAGGTGGGGAGGGGTCTGGTCGTCACAGGGTCCTGGTTGTGGAAAGGTGGGGAGGGTGGGAGGGTCTGGTCGTCACAGGGTCCTGGTGTGGAAGGTGGGGAGATGGGGAGTGGTCTGGCCGCACAGGGTCCTGGTGTGGAAAGGTGGGGGATGGGGAGGGGTCTGGTCGTCACAGTGTCCTGGTGTGGAAAGGTGGGGGAATGGGGAGGGGTCTGCCGCACAGGGTCCTGGTGTGGAAAGGTGGGGAGGTGGGGAGGGGGTCTGGCCGTCACAGGGTCCTGGTGTGGAAAGGTGGGGGTATGGGGAGGGGTCTGGCCGTCACAGGGGTCCTGGTGGGAAAGCTGGGGGATGGGGAGGGGTCTGGCCGTCACAGGGTCCTGGTGTGGAAAGGTGGGGAGGTGGGGAGGGGTCTGGGCCGCACAGGGTCCAGTGCTCACCTCTGCTCCGTCTGGCGCCAGGCGGTGTGACCGCGAGCTGTGTCCACTCCCGGGCCTCCGTCCTCAGCCCGGCGTGCGGTCTGGGCATCTCGGTTCCCTTGCTGGAGGAACTCTGGCGTGATCTTAGGGTGTCTGTCAGGTGCCCAGGAGGAGGGACAGGCCAGCGGCTGTCAGCGCTGCGTTGCTATATGGAGCAGGCAAGGAGAGTGTCAGGGACGTGTGTTCTGGGGATTTGCCGCCTCAACCCTCCCACCCGCCGCGGGCTTCGTCTGATTTTCTTGTTGAGGAGGGTAGACCGGATGGCACGTGTGTGCCTCTGAGTGCAGAAGGGTCAGTGTGTTCATGGAGGGAGGACCGGATGGCACGTGTGTGCCTCTGAGTGCAGTAGGGGTTCAGTGTTTTCATGGAGGGAGGACCGGATGGCACGTGTGTGCCTCTGAGTGCAGTAGGGGTCAGTATGTTCATGGAGGGAGGACGGATGGCACGTGGTGTGCCTCTGAGTGCAGTAGGGGTCACTGTGTTCATGGAGGGAGGACCCGGGAGGCACCGTGTGTGGCCTCTTGAGTGCAGAAGGGTCAGTGTGTTCATGGGAGGGTCGGATGACGCCCAGTGCAGGACCGCGTTCTGTGACTGCGTGGAGAAGGGCCCGGCGCTACACCTGCGCGCCACGCCCACGCGTGTGGGCTCGGGACTGACATGGGCCGGAGGCCGTCCTCTTAGAGGCCCCTTGCTGCCTTGCCCCAGGGCTCTCTCTCTCTGGTTTACGTTCTCCCTGTTGTGGAGTGGTTGTCTTGGATTGAGAATCATTCATGATGACGCAAGGCTGGCGAAGTGTCGAAGGCGTAGGGGGCTCCCTGGGGAGGCACCCGTTTCTCTAGTTCTGCCTGTGTCTGATGGTTTGTGGGGAAAACATTACACTAAAAGGCAACCTGTAGCTTCCCAAGCACCCTCTTGTGGTCTGACTGAAGTACAGTCAGCTTGGCGGGTGTAGAAATCGGAATTAGAAGCTGCTTCCCGAGCAGGGGAATTTCAGTTTTATTTCAGTTTGTGATCTCCCACCTGCTGGTTCAGTTCCCAGTGGCCGCAAGGCCGGGGCTGAGCAGAGGCCAAAGCCAGCAGTCAGGAACCCAGTCCAGGACTCCCAAGCGGGTGGCAGGAACCCACCTCCCAGCACTGTCCCCCGTCCTCCAGGGTCGAGCCAGCAGTGAGGTGCAGGGTGCCGCCTGGGGTCAGGGACGTCAGGGTGCTGTTTGCAGGTCCTCTGCGCGTGTTCCTTGTCACCCGCACCTCTCAGAGCCTCTGCCTGAGCCGCCCTGCGGAGCGAGGTTCACGGTTTAACCTGCAGAGCCGGCGTCTCCCTGCGCAGGGCCCTGCAAGTTCTGACCTCACAGTGCCGCTCCCTCCTGCACTGACGGCCTGCTTTCTTCTTGTCTTGTCTTCCCTGTGCGCGCTTTGCTTCCCCGGCCCCTCCCCTCCCTCCCCTCCCCCCTTCCTCTTCTCCCTCTTTCCCCTCTCTTCCCTTCCCTTCCCCTCCTCCCCTCCCCCTCTTCCTTCCCTCCTTCCCCTCCTCTTCCCTTCCCCCTCCCTCCCTCCTTCTTCCCTTCCCTCCTTCCCCTCCTCTTCCCTCCCCTCCCTCCCTCTCCCCTCTCCTCCCTCCTCTTCCCCTCCCCTCCCTCCCTCTCTCCCCTCCCCTTCCCCCTCCCTCCCTCTCCCCTCTCCTTCCTTCCCTTCCCGCCCCTTCCCCCTCCCTTCCCTCTCCCCTCTCCTTCCTTCCCTTCCCTCCCCTTCCCCCTCCCTCCCTCTCCCCTCCCCTCCCTCCCTCTCCCCTCTCCTTCCTTCCCTTCCTTCCCCTTCCCCCTCCCTCCCTCTCCCCTCCCCTTCCCTCCCTCCCTCTCTCCTTCCCCTCCCTCGTTTAGTTTTGTCTTTTCTTTCCAGATTGCTTTATTGGAAAGGCAGCATGTCGGAGAGGGAGGGGGCGAGGGACAGAGAGTCCTCCCGGCCACTGGTTCGCTCCGCAGATGCCACAGCAGCCGGGTCTGGCAAGGCTGAAGCCAGGAGCTCCATCTGGGTCTCACGTGGATGGCAGGATCCCGAGACCCTGAGCCATGTTCTGCTGCCTTCTCAGGCAGTCAGCAGGAGCTGGGTGGGGAGTGCGTGCTTTCTCGGATGCGCTGAGCTGAGCCCTTTCCCCTGCTCTGCTCTGGGTGGGCTTCTCACCCCAGTGTGCCAGGCTCTGGCTGCACGTGGGCCTGGGAGATTGAGGGCATGGTTTCTCTCATAGGTACGGCGTGGCCACCTCCTTCTTCATTCTTAAACAAGGTTTATTTGTTTATTTGAAAGACAGAGTCACAGGGAGAGAAAAAGAGAGAGAGATGTCGATCTTCCGTCCACTGGTTCACTCCCCAGATGATCGCAACAACTGGGGCTGGGCCAGGCCGAAGCCAGGAGCCTGGGCTCCATCCAGGTCTCCCCCATGGCTGCAGGGGCCCAAGCACCTGGGCCATCTCCTGCTGCTTTCCCAGGCCATAGAGGGAGCTGGATGGAAGTGAGCAGCCGGGACTCCAGCCAGCGCCCAGATGGGGTGCCGGCATCGCGGGCACTGGCTTAACCCTCTGCGCCACAGTGCCGTGCCCGGTTTTTCAGCCTTAGGATTCTTGCAGTGCTCCTGGAATTCCTGCTGTCTCGCCATCGCTGAGTGCAGTGCTGTCGCAGGCCGGGAGCGGTGACGTCTGCCATCCTTTGTGTCTCACTCAACAGTGCCTTCACCTCCAGAGCAGGTCCTCTCCCTGAGGCCCCGCTGCCCCAGGACCAGGGACCCGGCCTGCTCGGCTCACGGCACTTGTCAATGGGCTGCTTAGTGCTGGCCCCAGGCTTGCTAGAAAGTCATTCCAAACTGTTCCATCTCTCCACTTCCGCCGTGCGGCACTGTGCTCTGTTTCACCAGTTCCGAGACTTCTGACTCGCCGTGGGTGCTTTGCCTTCATTCAGTTGTGTGTGGTGCACAGGAGCTCCTGGGCGTTGCCTGCTTGCTGGCGTTTAGAGTGGATGGACTGCGTGAGGAGGAGACGGGTGCAGAGCAGGGCGACTGTCATGCCCTGCTCAGGGTTCCTGGGCTTCCCAGGGCAGTGGGGGGTGGGGCAGAGACTTGATGAAGGTCCCGGGGGTTCAGTAGGATAGGGCAGGGCGGGGGCTGTGTGCTGTGTTTGCTGCATGGGGCGCTGCTTCCCTTTGATGGCTGTGGGGGGGAGCTGTCTGCAGGGCCTCCCATTACTGACACGTTGACGTGTAGCATGCAGCTAGAAAGTCACACGTGTGGTGTTTGCAGCGGGCAGGTTTTATGTGGGCACCTTCCCGCTGGCTGTGCGCTGGCCGTGCCTGCGCCCTCCCGGCCTGTTACTGGGGAGATGACTTGCTGGCTGCCTCTGGGTGCGCTCGCTGGGGCCGACTGCTGCCCAGCCCCTGTCTGCACCGTTTCAGCAGCTCCTGCGGAAGCGAAGGAACATAGCCCACGTGGCCAAGCTTCCTGTCCCTCCCAGCTGCAGCGGGTGGCGGAGCTCGTGTGGGAGTGTCCCCCTGCCAGCCCGACAGGTGCCTTAGAGGGACGTATGCCAAAGTGATTGATGACAGCTGCGTGTCCTGCCACGCGGGGGATTTGTTGAACAGAAATGGGAACGGATTTCAGGTGGCTGCTGCACTCTGTGGCCTTTTTCCTGCTCCTGCCTCACCCACGCGCTGCCCTGTCCTTTGGGCGTGTCCTCCCGGCCCGTGCTGGGACAGCGCAGGGCCTGTGCTTGCCCTGGGGCTGCAGGTGAAACGTGCTCACCTCCCATGTCATTCCTGGTGTCCTGTCCGCCTGCATCCCTGCCTGCCTGGTCCCAGTGCTTGGCGCTGAGCTGGAGCGGCTGGGGTCCGGCCGCAGGGTTTTCCCGGGGCGCCTGGACCTTCGTGGGGAGAGGCTGCGGCTGCGTGCTTGTTCTCCCGTTGCTCTCTGCAGGCTGTTTGCTTGTGGATGTCGGCGCCAGGACTACCGCACGCGTTTGTGTGTGTGGGTGTGTGTAAAGATTTCTTTGAAAGGCAGAGTTGGGGTGGGGGAGAGCTAGAGAGAGAGATGGATCTTCACTCCCCACATGGCCTCAACAGCCAGAACTGCTTCCAGTCGCCCACCTGGGTGCAGCGCCCGTTTTCCGCTGCTTGCCCAGGTGCATTCGCAGGGAGCTGGATCAGAAGTGGAGCAGCCGGGACTCGAACCGGTGCCATAGGGGATGGCAGTGTTGCAGGCAGTGGCTTCCCCTGCTGTGCCACAGCGCAGGCCCCTGGGAGTGTCTTCTGCAGAGCCAGGGTCAGGTGGGCAGTGGAGGGGCAGGCCTGAGCCTCCCGTGGGTGGGCTTTATCCACCGGCCGGGGCCTGCGTCTGAGCGGACTCTGCCGGCTGCCGCTCTGAGCTCTGTGCTGGCTAGACCTGCATCAGACCTTCCACTTGGTGCTATGTTACTCCTGAATTGTTAGGCATTTGCAACGGGCCCTTCTACCCGCCGTTCAGACAGGGATGCCGTGGCGTGATGCCGTCGGCTGGGTGTCTTCTGAGCCTCTCCCGTCGGAGCTGAGTGGAGTCTTTCCTAGTCTGTGAGTAGTGATGGGCACGTGTGCCTGGTTTAAAACTCCAGCGAGTTCTCTGAGACTTGCTTTCAGGAACAAGAGAACAGGAGCCACGGCCACTTGGAGCCTTTTCTGCTGGTTCTTCGGTATCCGCCTGTTTGTCTCTAAATAAGACGCCCCTCTGGGTAATGTCCGTGTGCGAGGGCTCCCCCGTGCACCCCTGCGCCCCCTACTCTCAGGACACCCCCAGCGCCGTCTCCCTCTGGCTGCGGTTGGATGCAGGAGGAGGTTGTGCCAGGACCCAGCGAATAGCCATGCGGTCTTGTCCCTCCCTCGGACCCTTGTGCTTTGTGGGGTTGGTGATGCTCAGGTTAGCTGAGGATCTCTCCGTGTCCAGGTGAGTGTCTACGTCCACTGCTGCCCAGGGCTCTCTGGAGGCGGGCCTGCTTGCGCCTTGCTGGGCATGTCCCCCCGTGCTGCATGTGCTTCCTCCTCCCCGAGATGCCCGTCACGGGGATCCCTGCGCAGTGAGGAAGGACGCCGGGGCGGTGGATGGTTCAGATCCGCGTCTGTGGGTGGCTTTTCGTCCTCATAGTAAGACCTGTTCGTCCTCAGGGTTCAGACGTCTGTTATGCTGTGGCTTTAGGTTTATGCTGTTTGGGGTTCACTCAGGTTCCTGAGTGTTTATGTCTTTCGCCAAATTTGGGATTCTTCTGCCGCGTCTCTTGAGCCTGCTCCTGAGATGAGAAGTCAGAGCTGACCCGTTACTCCCCCAGTGCCCGGAGCCGCGCCGTTCACCGCTGTCCTCTGTGTTAGGAGGACCTGGGGAGGATCTGAGGGGGAGGATGGGGGGGACCTGGGGGGACAAGGGGATCCTGGGAGGAACTGGGGGACTTGAGGGGAGGATAGGGGGATGAGGGGACCTAAGGGGACCCTGGGAGGACCTGGGGGGACTTGAGGAGGACTTGGGGGGACTGGGGAGGACCTGGGGGAAGACTTGGGGAAGATCTGGGAGGGACCTGGAGGGGACCTGGGGAGACCTGGGGGAGAACTGGGGGGGGGGACCTGGGGAGGATTAGAGGAGGACCTGGGGGGGATTTGGGGAGCAGCTGGGGGGGATCTGAGGGGACCTGGGAGGACGTGGGAGGACCTGGGGAGGACTGGGGGAGGACTGGGGGGGGGGCTGGGCAGGATTGAGATCGCTTCCTGATCCCTTTGCACTGGCTGCCGGAACCCTCTCCCCGACCCCAGCGGCCGCCCATCTTCTCATTCCAGGTCTGCTTCTCTGGCTGTTCCCAGTGTCTGGCAGCCCCTTGGGAGAGAGCAGCGGGGGTGCTGGGTCCCGTTTCCCTCTGCTCTGCCAGCAGACCACCCACCCGGGTGGTGTGTGCAGTGGTCCTGGCCTTCTGGGCGGCTCTGGAGACAGCTTCCTCTCCCGAGCCCTTCCCCTGCTGGTGGGCAGGGGCTTCTGTGGGCCTCGAGTAGCTGGCGCTGGAGAGTGGAGCTGTGCTGGGCCTGCGCCTCAGCCCCCCCACCCCCCCCCCAGGTGGTAGAGGGCTAGGTGCTGGCTGTGTGGGCAGATAGGGCTCTGCTGCCGCCTGGTGGTGGGGTGGTGGCTGGCACTCCCTGCCTGATTTGCTGGTGTCCTGGTCCCTGTTGACACCTGCTGTCAGTGGTCGGGGTGGGGACGAGATGCATGGTTCCTGCCAGTGCCGTGAAGGGCTTTGCATGGGTGAGGAGGACTGGGACTCGAGCCCCACCGGGGCCTGCTTGGCGGCCCCTTTCCTGCTCCTTTGGCCAGCGAGGGGCTGCTCTTGGGGATGGTTTGTCTGCTTCCACTGGCCGTTTCAGCCCCCAGCCTCTGCAGAGCCCCTTCTGCTGCCCCCTCTGCAAGCGAGGGCGGTGCGTGCTGCCCCTCTGCGAGCGAGGGCGGTGCGTGCTGCCCCTCTGCGAGCGAGGGCGGTGCTGCTGCCCCTCTGCGAGCGAGGGAGGTGCTGCTGCCCCTCTGCGAGTGAGGGAGGTGCTGCTGCCCCCTCTGCGAGCGAGGGCGGTGCGTGCTGCCCCTCTGCGAGCGAGGGAGGTGCTGCTGCCCCTCTGCGAGTGAGGGAGGTGCTGCTGCCCCCTCTGCGAGTGAGGGAGGTGCTGCTGCCCCTCTGCGAGCGAGGGCGGTGTGTGCTCCCTGAGAGGGATGCAGGTCAGCAGTAGGCAGAGACAGAATGGCAGTTGCCAGAGCTGGTGTGCGTTCGGGGAAGCGAGGCCTGTTAGGTGCTGTCGGTGGGGGGTCTCCCTGGTGGGGGGGACAGCTTAGAAACAGGGACGTGCTCCCTCGGGACCCCTGCAGACATGACATCCGTGGACGCTCAAGTCCCTGATAGCTAGCCCAGTGCAGATGCTGTGCTGTGCCTGTGGTGCAGTGTCCCCCAAGGCCCTCGGGCCCCCCGTTGGCTGGGGTCTGTGCACGCACGGCTTGTTGGTGGGGAGGCTGCTGGTGTGGTCCTTGTGCGCTCTGAGTTGGACGCAAGGTGCAGGCTTGCTCACGGCCACACTCGGGTAGGCGCTTGCGTGCTTTTAATGCAGCCCTGGTTCGCGAAACATGAGAAACACGTCTACAGTGCACAGAAAAATACTGAAAATAACCAGACAATCCAATAGTGTAGAGCCGAGTCGTGCTGCAGGCACAGAGCGTGGTATTGTAAGTAATGTTAGAGAGATAACCGCAGCACGTTGACGCTTTGGTACATCGTAATGAGCATGATCCTGGGTGTGTCTGAGTGTGTGTGTGTGGACGTGTGCGGCAGGGCCAGTGGCGCAGAGTAAGACCTTTCCCGGCCACTGAGAGCGTTTCTCTGGGGGCTGGGCTGGGGGGAGGGAAAGCTTCTGACCCGTCTTCATTTTCCTCCTGCTGGGTGTTGGAGAGTTTCTAACAGTCGCACGAAGTGTTTTATACGGAAGTGGATGACACCGTGTGGTTTCTCTGCTGTTCCCCTGTTTTTAAGGACATGACGGATAACAGCAACAGTCAGCTGATCGTCCGGGCGAAGTTCAATTTCCAGCAGACCAACGAGGATGAACTGTCCTTTTCAAAGGGGGACGTCATCCATGTCACGCGTGTGGAAGAAGGAGGCTGGTGGGAGGGCACGCACAACGGCAGGACGGGCTGGTTCCCCAGCAACTATGTGCGCGAGATCAAGCCCAGCGGTAAGCGGTGGCGGCCCTGCCCGCGCTTGTTCTGGTGGGAGGGGAGCAGTGGGCGGGGGGGGTCCCAGCGGGACTTGATGTGGGAGACCCGGGTCATAGGGGAGACTGGAGTTTTGCCCAACCCCACACTGGCTCTCCAGTCTGAACGAGCCTCGTCTGCCTTGGCGACGTTTCCCCACAGTCGAGAAGGCGTCTCAGACCTGTTACCTGTGCTGTCCTGCCGACAGGTGTGTGCCATGATGTTCTTTTTCAGGGCCAGCGTCTGAAACAAACCTGAAATGCACTTGGCTGTGCTCTGTATCTGAGGGCTGTGTGTGTTGTCTACAGGGTGTAGACGTGTTGTGAGTGAACAGTGTATGTGTGTACTGTGTGTACTGGTGTAGACGTGTTGAATGAACAGTATAAGTGTGTGTACAGGTGTAGATGTGAATGATCAGTGTAAGTGTGTACAGGTGTAGACGTGTTGTGAGTGAGCAGTGTAGTGTGTACGGATGTAGACATGATGTGAGTAGTGTAGTGTGTATGGGTGTAGACGTGTTGTGAGCATGTACAGGTGTAGACGTGATGTGAGTAGTGTAGTGTGTACAGGTGTAGACGTGTTATGAGCATGTACAGGTGTAGACGTGATGTGAGTAGTGTAGTGTGTACAGGTGTAGACGTGTTGTGAGTGAGCAGTGTAGTGTGTACGGATGTAGACATGATATGAGTAGTGTAGTGTGTATGGGTGTAGATGTGTTGTGAGCAGTGTAGTGTGTACAGGTATAGATGTGTTGTGAACGAGCAGTGTAGTGTGTACAGGTGTAGACGTGTTATGAGCATGTACAGGTGTAGACGTGATGTGAGTAGTGTAGTGTGTACAGGTGTAGACGTGTTGTGAGCAGTGTAGTGTGTACAGGTGTAGACGTGTTGTGAGTGTGTATGGGTGTAGATGTGTTGTGAGCAGTGTAGTGTGTACAGGTGTGGACGTGATGTGAGCAGTGTAGTGTGTACGGATGTAGACATGATATGAGTAGTGTAGTGTGTATGGGTGTAGACGTGTTGTGAGCAGTGTAGTGTGTACAGGTATAGATGTGTTGTGAACGAGCAGTGTAGTGTGTACAGGTGTAGACGTGATGTGAGCATGTACAGGTGTAGACGTGATGGGAGTAGTGTAGTGTGTACAGGTGTAGACGTGTTGTGAGCAGTGTAGTGTGTACAGGTGTGGACGTGATGTGAGCAGTGTAGTGTGTACAGGTGTAGACGTGTTGTGAGCCGAGAGTACTCTGCAGGGGCCACACGACCCTGCGACCGGCAGCTTGGGCCGGGGAGCCCCTGGTTCAGTGGGTGCATTTTCCGCCTGTTGGTAGCGTGCCGCTCTACAGGTGCTTTATCCGGCAGCGCAGCCCGGGGAGTGGCCTCTGGGGAGTGGCCGTTCTGCAGCTACCTGAGCGCGGTGGACCTGGGTGCTGGGTCAGGCGTGAAGGGCGTGCTGTGTGGATTTCCTCTGCAGCAGTCGAGGGTGGAAGTTGAGGGTCACGGTGACGTCCGTGTCAGACCGTGTGCAGCGTGTGGCCGTCTCCCTTGGAGCAGCTTTCCTGTTCTGACGAGTATGTTTGACTGATGTTGGACTGTAACGTGCAGTCTAAATAGTGCTGAGTTTTCAAAAACGAAACGTGGTGCCAGGTTCAAAATATATGGCTCCTGACGGCGGTCACGGCAGGTTGACGGCCTTGTGAAGTGAGAACACTGGGAGCTCCAGTGGAGGGTTTCTCTTCTGCATTTCATTGTGATTGGTTTGGTTTACAGACGCTGTGGGCGGGACAGGCTGCGATCCATGATGGCGACGCTGTGGGCGGGACAGGCTGCGATCCATGATGGCGACGCTGTGGGCGGGACAGGCTGCGATCCATGATGGTGACGCTGTGGGCGGGACAGGCTGCGATCCATGATGGCGACGCTGTGGGAGGGACAGGCTGCAATCTATGATGGCAGTGGTTTTGGGCTGCTCGTCTCCAGGTGGCCCAGGTGCTCCCTCTGCTTGCCTGGGCCCTGGGCGCCGTCCGTGGTTAGAGGGGAGGTGAGAGTGCTGTGGGCACGCTCCCTCCTGACGTGGTTTCCTGTCTGAGGTGGCACCTCCTGGGGGCCGGTGTCTCCGGGAGGTCTCTGGTGTCTCCGGGAGTCTCTGCTACTGGCGTGTATCTGATACCAAGCCTGCCTGTTTGAGCGTGCACAGCCTCCTGTGAGTGCATCACTGCTACTCTGTGAAGCCCGGGGGTTCTTCCTTGTTGGTGTACAGGGTGGTGTACAGGTTGTAGACGTGTTGTGAGTGAGCAGTGTACGTGTGTTACAGGTGTAGATGTGTTAGTGAGCAGTGTGTGTACAGGTGTAGACATGTGAAGTGAGCAGTGTGTGTGCAGGGTGTAGACATGTTGTGAGTGAACAGTGTGAGTGTGTGTACAGGTGTAGACGTGTTGTGAGTGAGCAGTGTGTGTGTACCGGTGTAGACGTGTTGGAGTGAGCAAGTGTGTGTTACAGGTGTAGACATGTTGTGAGTGAGCAGTGTCAGTGTGTGCAGGGTGTAGACGTGTTGTGATGTGAAACAGCTGTGAGTGTGTGTACTGGTGTAGACGTGTTGTGAGTGAGCAGTGTGTGTGTTACGGGTTGTAGACGTGTTGTGAGTGAGCAGTGTGTGTGCAGGGTGTAGACGTGTTGTGATGTGAACAGTGTGAGTGTGTGTACTGGTGTAGACGTGTTGTGGAGTGAGCAGTGTCAGTGTGTACCGGTGTAGATGTGTTGTGAGTGAGCAGTGTCAGTGTGTGCAGGGTGTAGACGTGTTGTGAGTAAAGTGTGTGTGTACCAGTGTAGACGTGTTGTGAGTGAGCAGTGTGTGTACAGGTGTAGACATGTGTGAGTGAGCAGTGTCAGTATGTGTGTGCAGAGTGTAGACGTGTTGTGAGTGAACAGTGTGAGTGTGTGTACTGGTGTAGACGTTGTTGTGAGTGAGCAGTGTGTGTACAGGTGTAGACATGTGTGAGTGAGCAGTGTCAGTGTGTGCAGGGTGTAGACGTGTTGTGAGTGACAGTGTGAGTGTGTGTACTGGTGTAGACATGTTGTGAGCAGTGTGTGTTACAAGTGTAGACGTGTTGTGAGTGAGCAGTGTGTGTGTACCGGTGTAGACATGTTGTGAGTGAGCAGTGTGTGTACAGGTATAGACGTGTTGTGAGTAAAGTGTGTGTGTACCGGTGTAGACGTGTTGTGAGTGAGCAGTGTGTGTACAGGTGTAGACATGTGAGTGAACAGTGTCAGTGTGCACAGGGTGTAGAAGTGCTGTGAGTGAACAGTGTCTGTGTGCAAGGTGTAGACGTGCTGTGAGTGAGCAGTCTCTCTACAGGGTGTAGACGTGTTGTGAGTGAACAGTGTAAGTATGTACAAGTGTGGACATGTGAGCAGTGTGTGTACAGATGTAGACATGTGAGTGAACAGTGTCAGTGTGCCAGGGTGTAGAAGTGTTGTGAGTGAGCAGTGTCAGTGTGTGTGCAGGGTGTAGAGACGTGCTGTGAGTGAGCAGTCTGTACAGGGTGTAGACGTGTTGTGAGTGAGCAGTGTTGTGTGATGGTTACCGCATTTCCTGAGCTCAAGGGAGACGCGAGGAGGCGAGAAGCAGCCAGGCCCTCTGGCTGTGCAGGCCGCTGGGGAAGGAGTGTCCGTGAGGCTGAGTCCGCGTGTGGCCGGGTCTCAGCGCTGTTCCTTAGAGAGCAGACTTCCTGGTGGGTGGCAAGGACGTAATTCGGGGCAGAAAGCCCACCAGGCGTGGTTGGGCACTCAGCATTAGGCACAGAGTGGTCCCGATGGGTGGTTCGGAGTCTGTTGGAACGTGGAAGAAGTATTCCTGCGGGTTAACATCCCACGCTTGCACTCGCTCACGGGCTGCCTTCATGGTGCGTCACGGTGCGCGGTGGGTGCGTTCTGACGGTGGCCAGGTGCGTCGCGGTGTGCGGTGGGCGCATTCTGTGACGGTGGCCAGGTGCATCACGGTGCGCGGTGGGCACATTCTGTGATGGTGGCCAGGTGCGTCGCGGTGTGCGGTGGGCGCGTTCTGTGATGATGGCCAGGTGCATCGCGGTGCGCGGTGGGCGCGTTCTGTGACGGTGGCCAGGTGCGTCGCGGTGTGCGGTGGGCGCGTTCTGTGACGGTGGCCAGGTGCGTCGCGATGGGCACATTCTGTGACGGTGGCCAGGTGCATCACGGTGTGCGATGGGTACATTCTGTGACGGTGGCCTGGTGCATCGCGGTGTGCGGTGGGTACGTTCTGTGACGGTGGCCTGGTGCATCGCGGTGTGCGGTGGGTACGTTCTGTGATGGTGGCCAGGTGCATCGCGGTGCGCGGTGGGTGGGAGTTCCCGTGTAGCATGGCCGGGAAGGTGCCGGAGGGCTGTGGTGACGGGAGCTCAGCCTGGGAGAGTGTGGTGTGGTGTCTGCGTTAGTGTGCAGTTGTCCATTCGCATGCTAAGGGAGGGAAGATGGAGGCACAGGGACAGCATTTCAGAGAAAGGTTGGGAGTTACTGCCAGCAGGTCATCACTAGAGACCTAGGGGCATGCGTGACAAGGCCACCGGGACCTCGCGGGAAAGGGGCGTGGCATTCAGGAAACCGGCCGGCCAGCAGAGGGACTGGTGACTGGACTCCACAAAGGCACCCCCTATGCGTGAAGCAGGCAGGGTGGAGCGAGTGGCTGTAACTGTCCCGCCGTCCGCCAGGGGCGAGCAGCCTGGAGGCACGCACGGTGGCGTCCTCTGGGGTCTGTGTGGAAGGGCTGCCAGCAGGGAGCAGTGGCTGGGCAAGAGCAGTCATGAAAGAGGAGACCGTGTGGCCATGCAGGGCTCCCGTCCCAGGGAGCTGCCTGGCCAGGCAGGGGCTCCGCCCCTTCGCGCCTGGCTGCTCCCCTCACCCTCCCCTGCCGTGGGACTCTCGCCGGATGTGTGGCCCTGCCCTCTGTGGCTGCGAGTCCAGTTGCCACGCGCTTGCTTCACTGGACTCTGAAGTGTGAGCACTCCTCGAGCCTGGGGGTCTCACGGCACAGTTCCCTCCTCTCACGTGCTGTCTCACCTGTCCGTTGGGACTGACTTTCCGTGGCCGCTGTGGTCTCTGTCTCACCTTTCCCGTCATTTTTTGCCTGTTGGCGAGGTCCCGTGGGAGCCCTCGACTTCTCTGTTTTGGCGCTGCGTCCCGAGGCAGTGCCTCTGCTCGCACGCCCCCGCCTCCTCCTCCGTGGCTTGTTCCTTGCCAGGGTTTCAGCAGCTGTGGGGCACATGCCCTAGCCCTGGCCTGTGCAAGCTCTCCTGCCGTGCAGGTAGGGTAGCACTGGCGTCCTCTGGGGCCCCTGCAGACTGCTGTAGTCCTGGGTAAGCCCTGGAGCCCCTGCAGGAGGTGAGCGGCTGCGGCTCAGGTGTGGCTTCTTCCAGGCTGTGTCCCCTCCCTGGGTGCCACACCTTCCTTCCTGCTTCTCTGTTCCCGGGGAGGAAGCTTCTGGGCTTCCCCTCATGGGCCGTGCAAGGTCACCAGCTCCTCGTCCATCTTCCCAGGGGGGCGGAGGGCTGTGCGTCTGTTGCCCCAGGCGGCCCCTGGGCCGGGATGCTGTCCCCCCGTCGCCATTGGCAGTGTCTGCAGCTTGCTCTGGGGTCCCGGCACTCCCTCGCCTCTCCTCCCGCACATCTGTGTTTGAGTTCTGTTGTTCTCAGCGTCTTGGATCGTTACGAGAAAGGGAAGTGCTGCCCCGGTCAGTGAGTCCCTGGGGAGGTAGCTCTGCCTTGTGTTGGTGATCACTGACTCCCACACCCAGTCCAGTGAATTGCACTATTTTTTGGCTATTTGACTGGCCGAAGTATGTTTTTATTAGGGTACTATTGAACTTGAAGTTTTCCCTCTTTTTCTTTAAAGATTTATTCTATTTGAAATGCAAAGTTAGAGAGAGAGGGAAATCTTGCATCTGCTTGTTCTCTCCCCAAATGGCCACAATGACTGGAGCTGGGCCAGACCCAAGCCAGGAGCCAGGAGCTTCTTCCAGGTTTCCCACGTGGAGGAGCCCAAGCACTTGGCCCATTTTCCGCTGCTTTCCCAGGCGCGTTAGCAGGGAGCTGGATTGAAGTGGGGTAACCAAGACTCGAACTGGCGCCCCTAAGGGATGCCAGCATTGCAGGCACTGTTTAACCCGCTGCGCACAGTGCCAGCCCCTAAAGTTGACGTTTTCTAATCCATTTCTTTGTCATGAGTGGCCATGACTTTGCCTCTCTTACTTGCCCTTTAGTGCTTTTTTTTTTCCAGAAGGTTCTACAAGGGTCCCTAAGGCTTCCCAGGAGCTACCTGGCTCTGCTGCTTGCCGCGTCGTGGTTACGATGTTGTCTCCCAGGCACTCTGTGCCTGGAACGCGTGCACTGGTGATGAGCCTGCTGCACAGGAGGAGGTGTGCGGGGCAGGGTGGCAGGCGGGCGCCCCTCCCCTCGCGGGGTCCCTGTGTTGCTCCCCAGCAGTCAGGACCTCGTTCTGCTAAGGGAAGTAGGTGGCTTGGCTGGGCTTAGCCGGATTTGTCTAGATTTCCCTTGCCTGCCGCTTCCTTTTGTAGGATGTGGTGGCCAGAATTTCCTTTCAGAAAACTTTGTCTTACTTCTTCCACAGCTAATTCTTACCTGCAGATCTGGGGTTGAGGATGAACGGTGTTAGAAAGACTAGGTGGTTTTCTTCCTTGTGTTTCTTCTGTTTCAGAATTAGCTGTTTGCACCGAGTTTGTTTCTGTCCTGTGGGGAGAGTGTCCTAGCCAGGTATACACCTTCTGGGTCTCCTTACCTTTCAACCATCTGGAGACGCCTGATAGCGAAGCATTAAAGGAAGACTTGACACCAGCTACTCCGCAGGCGGCACATCCAGGCTTACAGGCTGGGAGCTGTATGGGGGCATTGGAGTTTTTCTTTGCTTTGTGCTGCACACACCCTCCATAACATCTAGTGATAGATACACCATACCCATCAGAACCAGTGACACACAGACACACCCTGTACAACCGGTGACAGCTACCCACAGCCTACAGAACATTGACAGACACCCTGTAGAACCAGTGAACCAGGACACCCACACCCTATAGAACCAGTGACACCCACACCCTGTACAACCAGTGACACCCACACCCTGTACAACCAGGACAGATACCCCACAGCCTACAGAACATGATAGACACCCTGTAGAACCAGTGAACCAGTGACACACACACCCCTGTACAACCAGTGACAGATACCACAGCCTACAGAACATTGACAAGAACCCTGTAGAACCAGTGAACCAGTGACACCCACACCCTATAGAAGCAGTGACACCCACACCCTGTACAACCAGTGACAGATACCACAGCCTACAGAACATTGAGGGACACCCTGTAGAACCAGTGACACACAGACACATACACCAAGAGCCGTGTTTTTATTCAACAAATGCTTTTCTGGTATTCCATTTTGCTGTCCGTTAGATGCCTGCATGAAGAGTGCCATGTTGGTTTATTAAATGTTTTATTTTTACTTACACAAAAGGCAGAGTAAAAGAGTGAGGGAGAGAAATCTTCTGCCCATGGATTCCATAGCAGACAGGTGGGGCCAGGCCAAGCCAGGTGCTCAGAGCTCCGTCCGGGCCGTCCACCTGGGTGGCAGGGACCATGTACTTGAACCACCAATCTGCTGTCTCCCAGAGTGCGTTGGCAGGAAGCTGCATCAGAAGCAGAGTAGCCTCCACTTGAACCGGCACTCCGATAGGGGATGCGGCTAAGCCCCCTGCGCCACGGTGCCTGCGCCAGCTGGCCGTTTCCCACATTGGAGCCCCTGCTGTGTTCGGGCCGCTGCACTTGCTCCCTGTGGCCTTTTGTGTCCCCCCCGCCCCCCCGTGACTTTCCTTCTGCTTCCTGGCGCTCCGCTGTGAGAGTGGCCCGGGTCTGGGTACTCGGCACTGCGGCCTCTGCCAGCCCCCTCCGTCTCCAGCCCTGCTTGGGCAGTGTTTCACGTTTGCTCACTGAAGTTCTGTGTGTAGCTTCCGTTTCTGATGGCCATTTGTGGAGTCCACCCCACATGGGGGGCCAGGGTGGGTGAGGCTGTGCGGTGACAGAGACGCGTGGTCCGAGGCACTCCACTGGTTGCCGGGCTTTCCTTTTCCGTGGGGCGTTTGAGCCGAGGCGGCTGGCTGAGGGGCCTTGGCGGCGTGAGGCCTGGAGTGCGTGTCCTGTCCAGTACCGATGAGCAAATTCCATTTCCGTTTCAGAGAAGCCTGTGTCTCCCAAGTCAGGAGCGCTGAAGAGCCCCCCCAAAGGATTCGACACAGCCGCCATCAGCAAGAGCTATTACAACGTGGTGAGTGTGTGCGGGACGCACAGGGCAGCATGCAGGGAAGCCGGCTGGAGCGTGCGGGCGGGGGCGGGGTGGTGGTGGCGTAGCACTCGGGACCTGCCACACTGATAAGACCTCTGGGTGTTGCGGTATATCCCTTCTAATCTGTTTTATAATGTTGCATTTGTGTTTTAATATTGTTTATATCACAGTATTATGATTATTTCCCCTTAACCATTGCAAGCCACCAAAAATGTGCTTTTATTGCTCAAATTATTTATGTGATGCGCGCGCACACACACACAGGGACAGAGACCTTGCAGCCGCTGATTCGTTCCCAGCTGCCCGTCGCAGCGAAGGCCAGGCCCGGCTGGAGGCAGGATGGACGTGTGTGTCCCGAGGTGTGGGATCTAGGCTGTCCAGACGTGCGCGTGCTCCAGACTGTGTTTTGTAACTCGATGTCAGTCAGTGAGCTCGAGCAGTAACAGTACTATTAAATCTGTGTGATGTCGATGTTTGTGGTCGCCGCGTGATTGCACACGCTACAGAAACGGAAAATACTCTCTGTTGAGATGAGCTTGAAGTGACATGGACTTTCTGAACATGGGTGATTGGAATTTTGTTACCGCTTCCCTCCCAGTCCTTTCTGTTTCCACGGTCAGGAGCTGTAAACAGGAAGCTGGGGGATCCTCGGGTCTTCGGTGGGAGGTGGCAGCTGGCCAGTGTTCTTGGTGACCCCGCTTCTGTCAGGGTGCTGCACCGTCCCCACCTCTGCTGGGCGGTGGTGAAATGCACCAGGCTGAGCTGAGTTCTGCCTCGATGCCGCAGTCCAGGCTGTGGTCTGCAGGGACGGCCTCCTCCTGAGCCTGCGCTCGCCTTGCCCAGGTCTTGGTGCAGCGCAGGCTGGCCTCGGGGGATCTGCTCAGTCCACGGGGCTTGTTGGTGTCACGGGGCAGTGAGCACGGTGGAAGCCCCGCCTTTGCTGAGCTTGCTGGCGTGTGGGCACCGCTGCTGTCCGTCACCTCTGCCTGTCTGTGACTGGCCTCGTTGCTCGCCCCCCAGTGGAGCGTGCGGGCTAGGTAGGTGTCTCGCCTCCCTTTCACTGTCACCCAGCCAGACCCTTCTCCTCCCGAGCCTGTCCTGTGAGGCCCACCTGCTGCTTCCCTTCTGCTTCTGTCTCAGGTCACCGGTCTGCTGGACCTCACCTCCGTCAGCCTGCACAACAGTCGCGGCGACACTGCGGGGCCTGCTGCCTCTCCGAGGGCGCTCTGGCGGGCTATGTCTCCGCCGTTCCTTTGCTGAGCGTTTGCTGCGGGGACGTGGCTGTGCTAACTGCCTTGCCTTTCAGAATGTAACGTGGAGTGTGCCTGTGCCTCGTGCCTTCTGTGTGTCACCGCTTCTCTCGGAAGCGTCGTGTGTGCGCAGCCATGGCCTGGAGAGCGAGTCGTCTGTGTCGCGGGCTCAGAAGACACGAGCAGCAGCTTCCGAGTGGGTGCTGACTGTGGCTCTGGGGTCTCTGAGAGGCACCGTGCCTCTGGGCGTGCTGGGGCGCCCTGCCTCTAGGCGTGCTGGGGCGCCCTGCCTCTGGGCGTGCTGGGGCGCCGTGCCTCTGGGCGTGCTGGGGCGGCCTCTAGGCAAGTCTGGGGCGCCATGCTGGGCGTGCTGGGGCCCTGCCTCTAGGCGTGCTGGGGTGCCCTGCCTCTGGGCGTGCTGGGGCGCCGTGCCTCTAGGCGTGCTGGGGCGCCCTGCCTCTAGGCAAGTCTGGGGCGCCGTGCCTCTAGGCGTGCTGGGGCGCCCTGCCTCTGGGCGTGCTGGGGCGCCCTGCCTCTAGGCGTGCTGGGGCGCCGTGCCTCTGGGCGTGCTGGGGCGCCCTGCCTCTAGGCAAGTCTGGGGCGCCGTGCCTCTAGGCGTGCTGGGGCACCATGCTCTGGGCGTGCTGGGGCGCCGTGCCTCTGGGCGTGCTGGGGCGCCCTGCCTCTAGGCAAGTCTGGGGCGCCATGCCTCTGGGCGTGGGGGCGCTGTCTCTGCATTGCGTGCTTGGTCTCTGTCCAGTCCTCTGGGGTCCGTACACAGAACACGTTGCAGTCAGAATGGAGGACGCTGTGACCTCAGCGTCGCTTCTGAATTCTGTGTGTATGAAGCTGCTTCAGTGCACAGGGTGAGGTAGACTGTAGTCGTCACAGAGTTCAGAGAGTCGTCTGGTGTATAATTCGCATTTGATGGTAGAGAAAATAGGTGTGCTGGCGTGCAGGGTCTCGTTAGGGAAGGTTCCGTGTGTGCTGGCGTGCACGGGGCTCGTTAGGGAGGTTCCGTGTGTGCTGGTGTGCACGGGTCTCGTTAGGGAGGTTCCGTGTATGAAGGCGTGCACGGGTCTCGTTAGGGAGGTTCCGTGTGTGCTGGCGTGCACGGGTCTCGTTAGGGAAGGTTCCGTGTGTGCTGGCGTGCACGGGGCTCGTTAGGGAAGGTTCCGTGTGTGCTGGCGTGCACGGGCTCGTTAGGGAAGGTTCCGTGTGTGCTGGCGTGCACGGGGCTCGTTAGGGAAGGTTCCGTGTGTGCTGGCGTGCACGGGTCTCGTTAGGGAAGGTTCCGTGTGTGCTGGCGTGCACGGGGCTCGTTAGGGAAGGTTCCGTGTGTGCTGGCGTGCACGGGGCTCGTTAGGGAAGGTTCCGTGTGTGCTGGCGTGCACGGGGCTCGTTAGGGAAGGTTCTGTGAGTGATGGTAAGTCGTGACGTGGGATCAGCATGGGCAGGATTTGTGGGTCAAGGACCCACAGTTTGGAGTTAGGAAACTAGGGCACACAGTGCGTGTGGGTGCGTGTGAGCCTTTTACTGTTGTTAACAGGCAGGACAGACGAAGCATCCGGGCAGCAAGCAGTGAGTCTCAACCACTTACCGTGGTGGGCGTTTGCTGTCTGCTGTCTCCTGTGGCCTCCTGGGACTGTTGTGTCTGGGGGGTGAGAACAGCCCAGTCCACCGTGCATCTGTCTTCCCGTTCCTCAGATTCGAGAATTGCTGTTAATTTTGTTCACATTGCTGACTCTTCTGATCTGCCATGGGCTTCTCTGGTGAATTTCCCATTGCAGTTACTGTGTTTCTCTATTTAGAATGTCCTTAGATTTTCGTAGTGAATGCAGGCTGTATCTGAGTCGCTCCTTCACCTCACCTACCTTTGAAGCCTGGCACCTGTGGCTCTTAGGGCACACTGTGCACAGCTGCCCTGAAGCCTGGCCTGAGCCCAGTGTCCCCCCCCCCCACCTCAGGGACAGCCCTGTGCCCAGCGTCCACCCCCCCCCACTCAGGGATAGCCCTGTGACCCAGTGTCCCTGCCTGCTAAAGGGACAGCCTGTGACCCAGTGTCCCCCCCTTCTCATGGACAGCCCTGTGACCCAGCGTCCCCCCTCAGGACAGCCCTGTGGCCCAGCGTCCACCCCCCCCACTCAGGGACAGCCCTGTGACCCAGCGTCCACCCCCCCCCCCACTCAGGGATAGCCCTGTGACCCAGTGTCCCTGCCTGCTAAAGGGACAGCACTGTGCCCAGCGTCCACCCCCCCCACTCAGGGACAGCCTGTGACCCAGTGTCCCTGCCTGCTAGAAGGGACAGCCCTGTGACCCAGCGTCCCCCCCCTCAGGGGCAGCCCTGTGACCCAGCGGCCCCCCTCCTCAGGACAGCCCTGTGACCCAGCGCCCCCCTCCTCAGGACAGCCCTGTGACCCAGCGTCCCCCCCTCAGGACAGCCCTGTGACCCAGTGTCCCCCCTCCTCAGGACAGCCCTGTGACCCAGCGGCCCCCCTCCTCAGGGACAACAGAGGGGTTTCTGCCTGGTTTCTGATGTGCGGTGACACTTTCCTGTTTTTTCTCCTT